CTGTGGGCATCGGGGACTGGCCTGGACTCGGTGTCTCCGCTGAAATTTGCATGACTGGAGCGCTGGGTGTGCTTGTGGGTTTTAATTGATGGTGAAAGACAGTTACCTTCGAGTCAGAGGAGGTGATTCGTAAGAGACAGCTATCTGCAGAGCCACTCCTAGGCGCTCGTTCATTCATTCATTTGAGGAACTGGAGGATGAAGAGCCTGCGGTCGGAGGGACCTTATGGAATGAAAGCCCGTTCTTTGTGTTTCCTGTTAAAGTTTAGCTTGGTGTGTTTTGGATTTGGGGTAGGGAGGTCTTGCGAGGAAGGAGGGGACGTGGTCCTTCTAACTCCTGTCAACAGCTCCCGTTAATGGAGTGCTCTCTGAGTACCAGGCACTGTGGAAGTGCTCTGCAGTCATCATGTTCTTTGAGTCTCCCGACAAAGAGAGGGGGCAGCCGCTGTTGGCAACTCCGGTGTTCTCAGATGAAGAATCTGAGGCCCGGAGAGACTAGGGTAATTTGCCTAAAGTCATACCCCGAGGAATATCTGAGCCTGGACTGGAACTGGGATCTGACTTTCCAAGGACATGACTCTTAAATGTATCTGTTATTTGATCAAAGCTGGCCTGTCATTCATTAAGTGATTAGAATTAATCAGTTAGCCAAGGGGTGAGTGTGTGTGTGTGTGTGTGTGTGTGTGTGTGTGTGTGTGTGTGTGTGTGTGTTTAATATTGAAGGGAAGTGCACTTGGCTTATCTGCCTTAGCTTTTGTTTGGGATGGCAGTGTTGTGCACGTAAACTTGTTAGTCTAAATTAGGCTGAAAAGTATTTGGTGTTTTAATAAAACTGATAAGTTTACTGCGGAAGAAGTCCTGCTAATATCCTTGTTGGATTTTTTAAAAATAGGAGGCATAGAAATAGCACTTCACTTTACATAGAGTAAGCTGTAAAAGTACTAAAATAGAATAATACCCTTCTGAGATACTTTGATTTATAATTTTGGGATCAACTTGGAGTCATCTGAATTCAAACAGGCTGGCAAAGTGGAGCTGCAAATTTCAGAAAGCATTATAAAACCTAATCTTCTGGGAGCCTTTGATTTACTGAGCAACCACCTGTGATTCTTAAGTTGAGCATTCCTGAGTAAACCTGGAATATGCAAATGTGAAAACTGATTTAGAGTTTTGTAGGGAAATGTACCTTAACAGTCATGCATCAGGCAAATGAGGCTCCTCAGAAACACTGAAATATTCTCCACTGTTGCCCTGGGGAGTTGCAGAATCTTCCTCTAACCACCTGGTATAAACTTAAGGGATATTTATAGAAGATGTAAATGGAAAATATCCTCTTACTGAAGTTAATATCTTCTACAAAACACTCTTACATCGCGTACTCTATAGAAGGGCAGATGATGTAAGCTTTCTTCGCTTCATGCGTTTCCTGGTGTCATAAATACTTGGCGTCTTCCTAAATTCCTAGTTAGAAAGAAGGCAGCTACCAGCCTTTTCACTTGTTTCCATTAAATTGGAGTGTCTGGAATCCTGTGACTCAGTTGTACTCTTCCTCACTGGGTAAAGAGCAAAGACTGATCCTGCTACTCTTGTAGTGTAATATGGTCTAACGTCTTCTGTGCATGCCTGACTTCCTCTGAACAGCCTTACTAGGGCACATCTAATATATACCTGTATATGTAAAGTTTGCAGAATAATGAACTTGCTGGAAACAAGGAATCTCAAACAGTAGTGTTCATGTTCAGGAGAACCTTTATGCACAGATATCGGCCTATGTAATAGGTAGCTCTACATATTTGGTCTTTGAGGACACCCTCTCTCTATGTGTTTTAGAAGTCTGATTCTGATATGCACCAGAGGTTGAGGACCACTGGTTTAAAGTATCAATCTGGCTATTTGCTTTCCTTTTATTTATAATTTATTGCAGAGACATTTCTTAAAATAGCTTCTGACTTCTTATGTGTAGTGGTGGGTGAGTTTGGGGCTTTGAGTTAGAGCTGGCTTGATCTTATAGCTCTGTCTTCTTTCAAAGTTTGTTAGGCTGCTAGTATACTCATTGCTGGCTTCCAGGGCCATGGTGAACTAAAATTAGCTTTTCCTGGAGTTAATTGGATATTCTTGGATGTAGATGTGCCAAATAGCCAAATACATCAACCATTTCAAGCTTTTCTAAAGAGTCAAATAGCTTTTGACCTTTAACAAGTCATCTAAGTTCTCTAAGCCTCAGTTTCTTTATTTTGAAATAAGAGAGTTGGATTGTAAATTAATGAGTATTTTTCTGTCTAAATTCCTGTGATTTTACAATCCTCCTGAGGCTTCAGTTAATATTCTTACTAAATCAATTGAATCAAAGTGTTAATGATTTTATAATAACCAGATTGGTGACTTTTAACCTACCCTGTTGGGTGAAGACCTGTTTATCCTTTTCTTTATACCATAATATTTTTAAAAGGTAATTCTTCCCTGTAGGTTTCCCATGTTATAAATCCTTCTTTGAAAGATTAGTTTTATTTGTATTAGTTTTGTTTGTCATTTAAGTAGCTATAGGAATGACAGAAAAATACTCAGTAGCATTCAAATCTGTAGCTGTTTGCTTTAAATGTATATATGTAGTATATACTGAAACACTGAGTTTTTTTTACCTCACATCATCAGTTGGTAACTATTTAATATAATTTGGTTTGCACGAAATACTCATTTTCTACATTTAAATTAATCTGAAAGAGGTCTAGTATAGTAATTTGAGATTATTCTTTCTCCGATTTAATTTTTTTTTTTTTTTTTTTGAGTTGGAGTCTCACTCCTTCACCCAGGCTGGAGTGCAGTGGCACACACACTCACGGCCACTGCAGTATCAACCTTCTGGGCTCCAGCAATCCTTCTGCTTCAGCCTTCCAAGTAACTGGAACTACAGATGCATGCTACCATACCTGGCTATTTTTTATTTTGTTGTCGAGACAAGGTCTTGCCAGGTTGCCCGGGCTGGTCTTGAACCTGCGGGCTCATGCAATCCACTCGCCTCAGTCTCCCAAAGTGCTGGAATTACAGACTGAGCCACTGAGCCTGGCCTGATTTACTTTTTAAGTTGCTAGAAATTAGTAATTTCATGTCTGTTTTAATGGGAGAGAATAAAAATTCATATTTTATATGCTATATATAAAAAATATATAATCTTTGGACTATGTCAATTTCTTCTGTCCCTTCTGTTGTGTGGTATTAACTTTTGTTATATACAGGTAAGTAAAGCAAAAAATAATGCTATATATAGCATTTTATATATATATATATATACACACACACACACACACACACACACACACACACACACACACACACACACACATATATTTTAGTTAGATTCTCACTTTTGTCACCCAGGTTGGAGTGCAGTGGCATGCTCACAACCACCGCAGCTGGGCTTAGGCGATCCTTCTGCCTCAGCCTTCCAAATAGTTGGAACTACAGACGCATGCCACCATGCCCGGCTAGTTTTCGTGATTTATTGTAGAGACGAAGTCTCACCAAGTTGCCCAGGCTGGTCTCGAACCCCTGGGCTCAGGCAATCCTCTCGTTTTGACCTCCCAAAGTGCTAGGATTACAGACTGAGCCACTGCGCCCGGCCTACACAATACTTTTTAAGGTTCAGTGAATTAAAACTGGACACTGTGGCTCAAACGTGTAATCCCAGCACTTTGAGAGGCTGAGGCGGGAGGATTGCTTGAGGTCAGGAGTCTGATGGTGCTGCTGCTCTCTAGCCTGGGCAACAGAATAAAGCTCTGTCTAAAAAAAAATAGAAATAATAGTAATAATTCAGATTTACATTTTATAACTTAAGTGCCTTAAAAACTCTGCTTTAATCCAAAAACAAGGCATGGTAGTTACTGGTCTACAACTCACAGGTCACTTTCTCAAGTAAATATAATGGCAGTAGAGGCCACAAAGTGTTTATGAGTAGCAAGGGACAATTTTGCCCTTCTGTTGGCAATGTGATGGAAGACACAAAGGAAGGGGAATGACAGGAAGAATATCTGTGGTGACCTTAATGTCTGCAATCATTAAGACCTGTACTACTTTTAGTAGTTCCCAGAGCTCAGTAACAAACTTGAAGTGTATCCATTTTAAGCTGTAGAATGGTTTTTATCAATGTTTCAAATACTAGTTGTTAAATGGATAGACTGCTAAGTATCCAACAATACATTTTGTTTAGTAGTAATATTGTTATAATAAAGTTTATATTTATTGAGTGCTTATGTGCTAAGCACTATAGCCTTGAGAGGCAGAATAGGCAGAGGAAACTGAGGTTTGGGGGCTTGAAGTAAGTTTCCTAGGGTTACTTATTCAATGACTGATCTGGGATATGATCACTATTAGGTTGTCTTCAGAGCCCAAACTTTTACTCTTTCCACTGTGATTAACTGCTGGATATACTGGTCTCTTAAACTGATTCGCAGACCAGGTCCCAGTGGTTCTTTTTTTTTTTTTTCTTTAAAAATGTGGGGTACAATTCCACAGTGGTTCTTAAACTTTTTTTTTTTTTTTTTTGAAAGGGAAGGTTGCTTTGTTCCCTTCTGGAAATCTGTGGAAAACTATGGACCAAATGTCCCTTCTTCTAC